ATGAGATAGACAGTAGCAATCTAATGAAAAAAAAAAAAAAATCTAATGAATATAGTGATCTTAGGGAAAAAATCCGTCCATGTGAACCAAAAGCAAACATAAAGGTTCTGGGTTTGAGCAATAAACTATTCCTCTTCTGAAGCTTTGAGAAATGTCACTTTGAGTTATACAGGAATGTAACTACTTTACTCACAGATATGTAAATTTTTATGAGTACCCAATAAAAAAAAAAAAAAAACACAGAATTTTAATACAGCTCATAATGAATTAATTCACTCTGACACAAATTAAGTTCAATATAAGTTTTTAAATTTTTTTCTGAGCGGGGGCTATGACATGTCATGTCTTATTTACTATAATATAAATAATATATATAATATAATAATCATCTCATATAAGGATTTGTTCAAATATGTCCTGTCATTAGCATATATATATAGATACCTCATGTTCATTTCGTGATGATATCTTAATTTTTTTAATTAAAAACTGCATTGCTAACAGCAGAGCTATCTTAGCTGGGAGGCTGGTTGTTATGTATTTGGCTTTCGACTGCAGTATAAATCTTAGTACAGTCTGCCCATGTAGTATTAGGGGAGACTGGTTTGTACTCATGCACTTGCAATTTGAACTCCTAAAAAAAGCCAGTAGTGACTTCAATGTCCAGCCAATGAGTGGTACTATTGATTCACTAATAAGTAAAATAAATAAATAAATGTTTGTGTGTGGATCTTGACTTGATAATTATTAGTTTCCATTTGGATGCACCCTGCGTGTCCCCACGTACATTTCACATATACATCTTGCATCTTGGGATACATATGCACGTCAATTCTGTTCATGATCTGATTAAAAACTTTTGTACTAAAAATACATCAAAATCAAGCATTTCTGCTATTCCAGAACTGGAATCGTTGGATTTCATTCAAACTTTTTTTTTCTATTCAAACTTGATACATACATTATTATTACACCAAATATTATGTCACACATTATGTACAAGTTTGAAATCAAATTTAAGATAGATAGATGAATGGCAACCATTTAATATTAAAAGTGCCTCAAAATCAAGCATTTCTGCAATTCCGTAACCGGATCTCAGTCGTGCATATACAGATTGAAACTTGAAACATACATTGTTGCAGGCATTTTGTTTTTCAAATCAAATTCATAATGGCTGACTGGTGGCCATTTTGTTTTGACAAATGCTGTTTTAGAGCCATGGCTCCAATATGTCTTGTGACGGACTTTACATCTACATTATACATCATATCGGGAATAGTTGCATGCATTTGTTTCAAATTTTGATTCAAAATGGCTGACTCTATTGAACAACAGGAACACAAAAATGTCTTTATTTTCACATCATACATGTTGATGCTTTTCAATCCTTATTTAGGGTACAGTGATGAACAATTCCTAATTCTCAAAACAAAAAGAGTCAACTTCTGTCTTCTTTTCATATTTGATGGGTTAAAATGTTTTCATAATTTCATCCAATATTGCAAATTGACCTTCACCTTCCATTAGGACACACAGTAGTCTTGTACTGTTTCATGTTCGATATGGGTTCCATTCAACGTGTACATCGTAAATTGTTCGCATGATATTTGATGATAATGTTATAAAAAAAATCATTCACAAAAAATTGACGCTCCTAATTTCTTTATCGTTGCAGAGTGCCTTCCTTTGAAGCGTCTAAGTATTTGATCACAAACGATGAGTTCTACAAGTTTGTCCTAGATGGCGGTTATAACAAAAAGGAATACTGGACGACAGAAGGTTGGAAATGGAAGGAGTTCAGACAAGCCAATCATCCAACGTTCTGGGTGTGTACAAAAGGTATTATAATACATTTCAATTTTTACTGTAAACTTCTTTGAAATTCAATCCTCACAAAAACTTGTAGTGCTGCCCTTGAAATTTAGTAAGTTCTTTTTCTGGTGTACAACTTTCAACCATTCACTGTCCGCACCCTTAGGTTGCAAAGGTGGCTGCGGTGGACTAATTTGCGATTACTCGCATTGCCGACCGGAAGTGTTTTATGGTTCTACTGCAAATGAAACCATTGTTAATGGGAGCAACGGAGTCAGCAACGGAGTCAGCAACGGAGTCAGCAACGGAGTCAGCAACGGAGTCAGCAACGGAGTCAGCAACGGAGTCAGCAACGGGGTCGGCAACGGGGTCGGCAACGGGGTCGGCAACGGGGTCGGCAACGGGGTCGGCAACGGGGTCGGCAACAGGGTCGGCAACGGGGTCAGCAGGGATAATTACAAGTAAGTAAATACAATATCTCAAGAACCACTTGGTTACTTGTGGTGCATATGATTCACTACTGCTTTATGATGAACTCCAGGCCTGATACGATTTTGGTACAAATTGCATAACAATACTTTGTTTTTATTGGTTATAATTGGTTAAACATGTATAATGTTTGTGTAATTACACCACTGGAGAACTTTTTAATATCTGAAGTATCATTATTAGTCCTGTTCCTTGCATGCTAATAGCTCACACATGTGAATTCCTATTGTGTTAACATTAATGTATAGCAGCTGTGTCACATGTCGTACATCAATATCAAAGTCATCTTTAAATTTCTCAGATACCGCGCTATATTCAGTGTCATAGACATGCCGTGGGAATGGCCAGTGGATGTGAACTACCACGAGGCAAGAGCGTACTGCGCATGGAAAGGCCCCGAATACAGAGTACCAACTGAGGCTGAACACCACGCAATGAGAGGAAACCAGGTAACCAGTTACAATGATTTTGTATTTGGCTGATAATGTAAAAAGATGGAAGCATAAAATATTATAATAACATTATAATATACCAGAAGATTTTGCACAATTCATGACATATGCACATGAGTGTGTGTATATGGAGTGGATTGAGCAAAATCTGTAGTATATACCCGATTTTAGTGGTGGTGTATTGCCATTATACCAACTGTGGTATATACCCAAATTTAGTGGTTGTGTCTTGCCATTATATTATACCAACTTCATTTTAAATATAATTCAGAGAGATGAAAATAATTGAGAGCGTCAAAAATCATTTACAAATATGATACTGCTCTCGAAACATTCTACTTGCAACTGTGGTAATATAACAAATTGGCCTTGAAACTAGCAGGATTATAGATACACCGAGAAACAGAGCAAATTCACACCCATATTATGGTCGTTGCCAGGTTTATTCAAGTAGTTTCTGGTTTAATAGCGACAGCATTGATGTTATGTAAAATTGCTTCAATCAACAATTTTAAAAAAAAATACAAACTTTTTGCCACTGCGGATGGCAATCATTTTCTGGTGTTAGCATAACTCTGAAAAAAATGTGAGCCCGAAATACCTAGAATTGCAATGTACTTCATTGTCCATATCGGAAATTATTTCAGTCGACAGCAGGATTCCCCCCTAATGTGTGTTCATGTTCACGGCCCTACCCTACTTCTATACATATGGCACACGGTGTGTATTTTACAACGGCTCGCATAATTAAAAACATGCTCACGTCCAACGATGTATTCGGGCAATTACATTGCTGTTGTAACATAATATTATATTGTATATTTTACAAGTTACTTATCTTCATATGAACCCTTTTCAAATGCAGTGTGATATGGCAGTGTGGATACAGATAGCAAAATTGACATGTAATCTTGCAACTTTGTCTAGATTACTGCAATAGATAAAGTTCTAACAGTTCCATCAACTTCAAAGTCCACTTAAAAAGACAACGATCGTATTCCAAAATCTATATGTCAAATATGTAGCTTCACTGATTCCTGGCCTCCCTTGGGAATGGCAAGTAGGACGAAGGTAACTAGTAATCGCCATGTTGTTCCACTGGGCCGTGATTTCGGCTTAAAGTCGCGTGACTAAATGACGCAATTTGAAAACATTCCAATTTCCGTGAACAAGTCTGTATTACTGATATAATGCCATGTCCATCCAGTCTGCCTGCTTAGACTTCATATTTGAGATAGTTCTGGCATTTCTCGCTATTTGTGTAACAAAAAAAACAGTTTTATATTCACGCAACTTTTGAGAACAAAAGGAGTACCCTGCTTCATATATAGAACAACACCGAGTGTAATCGCTGATGTCGGGTAACCAAGGGAAATAGAACAAAGAATGAGAACGTGATGGACCAATCAGAATGCAGATTCCATTACTAGATACCAACCTCTTGTGGCTTGGTGCGCCATGACAGTTGAGGCAGGAACCAGCCAAATATAGCATGTGCATCCTGCGATCTGATTGGTAGAAAAAGCCCAGGCATGTTCACAGCTAACATGATATGCCAAATTAATTATGTCATCATGTTTTCCCTATTATCTTTTTTTTCATATCCAGTTGCCATCTGGTGTTGGTGTACAAGGTGACGTTGTCTTCAATGATGACAATAAGTCTAACACAAACCTGGTATATGGATCATCTTCAGTAAGTTTAACAATTTACTCCATGACCTCTAGAGGGCGCTGTGTAACTATCGGTACATGGCAATGTTGTTTTTTATTCAGTTTTTATTGCGTCGTGTGTTAAATTGAAAGAACAGTTATCAGTAAGTACAAAACCAGTAACATATTTTGTATTCTTTGTCTAGTCAAATTTAGAAACAATTAAGCTTAATTTAATTTGAATACCAAGGAAAACTCTTTGTTTTAACAAGTCAATCTTTATCAGTTTCTATGGCAAAATATGTGTTCTAAAAGCCATTATTACTATTTTACAGTTATGATTAAAAGCATAATACGTACACTATGTGAAATATGTTTATTATCCTGAAAACTGTTTGCTCAACTGGGTAAAAAACTTGATACATGCATATAGTTTGTGTAGTTTGACGTCTAATACTACGGTACTTAATAATTAATCTATATATATATTGATTACTGACCTTGCATACTAATCAACTACTAGTACTGTCAGCTACTTTGCAATTAATCTGCATATGTTAATTATATAAAGTAAAATGTTTTATGGTTGTATGTTGTTCAGTAAATCAAAGAATAGTGAATTTACTTGACATGGGAGCACTTCCTAGCATCTCTACTCCCAAATGGATCAGCGATCAAGAGATAGACTCAGTAGAGCTGAAGCCGTACATTGCCCCATGCACATCATGAATTTTGTATTAACTTTTCCATGATTTTTTTTTTTTCATTCCTCAGCCTGTCAACATGTATCCACCAACTGAAAAAGGTTTTCATGACGTATTCGGTAACGTGTGGGAATGGGTCGCAGATGACTTTAATGGGTTTCCTGGCAACAAGACGCACTTTCTATATGACGATTTCTCGTCACCTTGTTTCGACGGCAACCACACAATGATGCAGGTAATGTTTCACTATTTGCGAGATGATCACTAATTAATTCACAAGACATTACCTACATTTCTAGAATTGTGAAAGAAATTATCATCTCAGATCGTTTTGATAGTCTTTGCTTATTTGGAAAGCATGTTATAGGTGTGTTTTGCATTTTCAAATGCATCGATAAGCTCACTCATTTCTGTTTTTTACGCATACGAACCTTTCTAAGCGTCTACTGCATTCTGTAAATATTTTTTATAAATACGTTGATGCACACTGAATTCGGATAATTCTTGTGTATTTGAGAAGTGCAAGAGTTCACTTCTCATGAGATATTCATCCAATATAGCTGAACATGGTTACGAGAATTGCATAGCCTCATCTTCTAATTCTTTTGTAGTACATACCATATTTACTAGGTGCCTAAACATATAAAATCGAGGAAAGTAAAGGGTGGACATGCCTCAGAAAGACGACCTCTGAAAATTTCCACTATGATGTTTTTATGCCAGATTTGATCTGGAAGAACATCCTCTGACCTAACAGATCAAGTCTGTCATTAATCAATCAAAATGCTAGGCCCTAATGGCAGAAATTTCTTAATATAGACGATTGCATGTTTTTCAACACACTGCAGAAGTGCATTACCGACTGAAATTCCATGGTAATTGCTTGTATCTCTCTGGCTTCTTTTTAATCGCATTATTCAGAAATTTTGTATGTAGCATGTATGTAACAAGTGCAATAAAGTTTGAAAACAATACTGGGTTTAGGGAAACCTGCAAGTAGTCTATTTTTCATACTTCTAGGGGTCTGAACAAGGTGAATTTTTTTATAGCATCTCCATATACTGTAGAACACTTTATTTTTGCTTGGAATTTATTTTCGCTGAAGGAATGATTCCGTGAAAGTAAAATCCAGCGAATATACTTTTTTTCCTATATTTCACATTAAACTCATTAAAAATCAGTGAAAATAAATTCCATACAAAACGCCCAAAAAGCCTTTTTAGCGAAAATTAATTCTAGCGAAATTAAAGTATTCCACAGTATATGTTCCACCGATTTTGCTAATTCAAGATGTCGCTAAGTTAGAATTAAGTATATTCTCACAGAGAGTTTGATGAGTCTTGGGATTCTGTTAAATTAATTCATGCATTTGTCACTAAAATCAATCTCCAATCATTCTTTGAAAATATGGTTTTGTGTGTTAATGAATAAATGGATCCATACAAGGTTTTTTATTTATTTATTTCATCGCATTTAACTAGAATCCTATACAATTTTTTCTATAGGGAGGATCCTGGGTTTCTACAGGGGGTGCGACCTCCAGGTATGCCAGATTCTCATTTCGAAGGCACTTCTACCAACATCTTGGATTCCGTTTAGCCAAGTCTGTTAATGTAGACGACCCATTGCCACTGCGTCTCATCAATACACCTGTATTTGTACTCGGACAGGGAGTAGCTGGTGAGTACAGACGGCCATATTACTTTGCTGTCTTTGAAGCCAATCCATTTTGTGCTAAAATTTATCAAAATTAAGCATTTCTGTCATTCAGGAACCAGATCTTTGTTGGTGTTTATATGGGTAAATTGTATTCAACTTTGATACATACCTTGGAGATAGATTATAGGGCTTTTGTGCATGTCTATCACATTGTTTTGCAGCTTGGATTCACAATGGCTGCCTGGTGGCCATTTTTTTTAAATGAATTTTTCTAGAACCTTATCTTTGACATGTCTGCATTGATTAGGTTGAAAATTCACACATAATTGAAGATGGTTAACAGCATCTATTTTGAAGCTAAAATCAAAAAAACAATTAACACATAGTTTCTGATTTAAAATGGCCGACTGGTTCCAATTTTGTTAGTCCCTGTTGGACGTGGTCCGAAGCGGGAACTTGTGTTTTGGGTTCCGTTCGTGTGTCCGTCAACATTTCTCCTGACACCTTGACAGATTTACTTCAAAGCTTGTGCAAAGACAAGTCATAATGGGAGACATGTGCACATTGACTTGTATTTGATTTGGTTGATCTTTGACCGACAGGCGGCCATTTTTGTTCCAAAAAACATTTGGACAAGTCATCAATAGTTTCTCGAACATGTCTTGACTGGTTTCATTCAAACTTGGCATTGACATCAGTCATAGTGGGTTACTGATGCACTTCATTATTTTGCATGATTCAATTCAAAATAGCCGACTGGTGGCCATTTTGTTTTTGTTATTCGTATTCTGCCCATCTGAGATGATTTTACAGAATGGGTTAAATTTTGTTTTTAACTATTTTTTGGATTTCAATGAAATTGTGATATTCACATCCATTTGTTTTGAGTAGCCTTTGGCCAAGTTTTAAGCAATTTTGACTTCCAAACAGTTGCTGTTTGTCTGTATCATTTCTCGTGCACGTCTACTAAGCATATGAACATTATTGCAGACTTTTGACGGTCAATTTTTGTGCATGCATGGACCGATTAATTATTTTTTTTGAAGTTTGTATATTACAAGTTATGATACATGTGAATATCGCTTTGTTTTATTTTGTTGACATTCAACTGACAGCCATTAATTGTCCCAAAAGTCAACATTTGGACATGTCATTAACAGTTTCTGCATGCCTTGACCCATTAGTTTTTATACCTGTTTCATGCACATTTGTAGTTAATATGCTAAATACTATCACAATATTTAAACATTACTATGCTTTTCATTGTTTGACAAAGTCACTAAAAACACAACGGGAACTATGTCATTCACAATGACTTATTATTAGAATAGAATAGAATAGAATTATTTATTAATACCGTAAAGATAATGTGACATTTCTTTTTGGGTTAACGAGTTAATAAAGTTTTTACATAGTTGAGCGGACATAAAACTATCCGTTATTCACTATCCTTTTTATTCACTACAAAAACTGTTTCATGACTTACTTACCTCTGCAGAACGCACTCCATCCGTGCACAGCCAAAACATTGAGAAGTGTTACCATCCTACATCCAATGCACAATATTACGAAGACGATGAAACTTGTTTGAGCGACATCATGGAGTTGCAGTTTGGTATCAAAGACGGCAATTATTTGACCCAGCTGTATGACATCTGTAAGACTATTGTGTGGAAATACAACATCAACAATAAAAGTGTAGTTCATTTCGGAAGCGGCCCCGGCAGACTGGCATTTGAACTGACCAAGATGTTTGACCAAGTATGTGTGTTTACATTCTCTTTTCGCCGAGTGTTGCAATATTCATTAAAAATATTTATGTGCAAATATTTAAAATTATATTTATAAATGACATGTTTATATTCGTAAAACGACTATGTATATTCATATACTGTATACAGTAACCTCCATTTGTATTCGTGAAATCTTCATTTCCATTTCCAGTTGTAATAAGAATCTCCATTTGTACTTATTTGTATATATTTGTATTCTTACAACCACTTGCTTGTGAGATTTGTGAGCATGGAGGGAGCTGCTCTCGCCTGTATTAAAGATGGCAGAAGATCATGAGACATTGACTGTACACACTAGATATACAGATAATGTTCCCCTGATGTATTGTTCCCCATACAGTATTTAATCATTTTCTAAACATTTTGACGTAGGTCCTGGCAGTCGATTTTGGGGCTAGATACATTGACGCTGGAAAGAAGTTACAAAAGTCTGGTTCATTGACCTACAAGGTCCTACCAACCGGAAGTCATGAAAGTAATAAGTGTAAAACTGTTGAAAACCGAAATATCAAAATACCTGATGATATCGAGAGACAGAAAATCACATTTAAACAGGTATTGTACGTTTTTCTCTTCGTACAGTTGCCTATCCAACCATCCGACCCATCTGACTTGCATAGCCTGGCTGTAGAATTACATTTAGCAAAGAAGACTTTGAAAACAGAAAATTCAAAGTTAATTATATTGATTATATTCTTATATATGATAATGCACAGACCTGATTAGTTTTGGGTTGAAATCGATGAATATTAATTATTTAATTAACATAATAGTTATCTAATTTTTAGCCTTTTCAAAAATATCTCAAGAGCCATTCAACAGATTCCAGTGAAACTAGGTGTATAGGTACTCCAGACCTGATTAGTTTAGGGTTGAAATCATGCATATTAATTATCTAATTTAATAACTGTTTGGTTCATATATGTGCTAGGATAGACTGCAAACCATATATTTACAATTAAATTTAAATTCCACTCCAACCATATATCTATTTGACTTGATTTAAAGTGACCTTTCTGTCAACATTCCACTGTATGCATGTAACCACTTCCTCTTGTGTGAATAATCATATTTCAATTTCAGATGACTTGGATTCCCAATGAATTGCATGGATTTGATCTCACCATCCAAGACATGATAGACAGGGTATCTAACGTAAAAGGTGAGTACTGCCCCCCCCCCCCCCTTGTTTTTTTGAGTGTTTGAAATATCCATTTTTGGCTCATTCTGGAGTGGCGATGATTGTATGATCAAGTTAACAAATTTTTCTGATATTATTTATTTATTATTTATAATTGTTCATATTTTAAGAGTCAGGTAATACAAATAGATTTATTCAATGAAAAACTCAGAATATTAATGTATATATAGTGTGTATAGAAAATTTCTAATTTCTGAGAAAACATGAGAAATTTGAAACTTTTGCATAAACCAATAAATTTAAGTTCCCAACTCATCAAGAAATATTTATAAATTATACCAGTAGCCAATGCCAATGCCAATTCTTAAGTGTCATATCAATCTTCATGCCCAGTATGTTGATATATATATGTAATATATATAATTCAGATTTTATTACTCTTTTCATCATGCTTCCCTTAATTAATTAACAAAATTGTTTTTTGATTTGTGTGCATAATCTCTCAAATACATTTTGCGGTTCTATGAAGTTGCCACTCCAGTTCAGCCTTGTGAACAGTGCCCTCTTGTGTCATCACTCAGTGTCGAAATTGCTGGTAGACAAATAAATTTGAAAACTAATTTATGAAGATTACTTGTGTTAACTTATGCGAAAAGAATAACAAAATTCTATTATAAATTTCTTTCGTTCTGTTATTTGTCTAACAACATCAGTCTCAGCAAATGACACTTATTATTTCTGTGTCACTCTCTTATATCACGGTGTTTGTAAAAACTGTTCACTCAGATTTTCCAGTTTGACAGAAAGTTTAAAGTCAGTGATATCAAAGTTATTTTTTGTTGTCTTTCTGATCGTATATTTTAACTAACTGACCATGTGCAGCAGTTTAATGTAAGATTTATGAAAACTATTCTACTACCAGGAAAATCCAGGTGTTTTTTTTTTTTTTTCTCAAATAATGGGCTGCGGGAATGGGCTGAGTTTGCAGTTTTTACAATCACATTTGTGTTTTATCACGTAACTCGGGTAATCATTACATTCTTACTTCTTCTGATTTACCTCCACAGAGACTTAAATAACGTACGTACACTCGTTCGTTCATTTCTTCCCTGCAAGTCTAAACCTTAATAAATTAGTTAGCTTTAAACACAGACTATGAATATTTTGACAGTAAGCATAAAAACAGTGCGACTGTTTAGTAGAATAATTTACACACATTGAACTTCACTTTGGAGAAAGATTACATTTGGAACCTGATCAGGACACTCTCAATTCTGAATGATATAAAAGATCAATCACAGCCATTGTTCGTATATAATCACAAACAATGGTTGCCTGCATGTTTTTAAGCTTACTTGAAAATTTAAAAAAAAACCAGTACAAAAATCATGTACATGTACATTTAAAGCGTTTTTACTTAGAAATATTTATTTATTTAGTATATTTGAATTATTTCTATTATGTCTCAATACTATTCACATTAAAATTGCACTTCTCAGTATAGGGTCTGCACAACAACAAATTTGGTGTTCTCTAGCAGAAATGCAGGGAAAATAATAATTGGATATTATATTGTACAAAGTTTTTCTCTGAAAATTTTCTAAAGTTGCATTTTTTCATACATGAGATACTGACAAATGTGGTTTTTACATACCATAGTTGTCTGAGTATAAGCGCCCTACAAATTTACAGCATTTTACAACAAGTCATTTATCCGATTATAAGCGATTTGAAAAGAAAATCATGACACTTTCCCATCAAAACCCAAGCCAAAAGATCATACTACAACTCTGGAAAATCTCTTCTGTGTTGCGTTCAATAACATTAACATATTTAAATGAGCTACACGTTGGCATCAAGCGTTTATATGCAATTGGAATCATTTGCTTACGATTTAACAATTTAACGAATTTATTTTTTGTACGTTATTATATTCACTACAGAGTAATAATCAACAATTGTAAAACGCAGCATGAACGGATTGCGCAACTGTGATCATTTGCTGCTACGTAATGGAGTTGTGTTAGTTTTTATTAGCTCCGCTGTCGACTTTGTCGAGCGGAGCTTATCATGTGAGTGATTGTCCATCGCCGTCTGTGTCAATGTTTTACTTTTTCGACTTCTTCTTGAAAACTACAAGCCTGAATGCTTTGATACTTGGCGTATATGTACCTTGGGTAGACCTCTCTTAGATTTGTTCATTTCATGATGATATCTTCAATTCTCTAATTTTGATGAATATTTTTGTAATTTTTGGTAAAAAGTGATATTTTCCACTTCTTGTGAAAACCGCAAGTCTGATTGTTTTGATACTATACATATTGTTCATTTTCTAATGATATCTTCTGTTCTTTAATTGAAATGTGCATTGCTAACAGCGGAGCTATCTCACCCGAGAGGCTGCTTGTTTGAAACTTCGTTTAGATTATACTTTCATTACCTCGAAACATGCAGACCAATATTCAACGTGAAACCCAGGGTTGAATACTGTTCCACCCAAGAGTGATTGGTGACCCCCGGGGCATAACGGCCAATCCTCAAGTTAATTTGGTTAATGAAGAAACACACGACAATTTGTTTATGATTAAATTAGCATAAATTATCACTCTGGAGAAGTTTCAACTTTTATCCGTTTATAAGCCCCCCCCCCCCATTTTTTGCAATTGGCCGTTTTCCCTGGGGGGGGGGGATTATACTCAGACAACTACGGTAAATTAATATCTTGATTTGGTTGGACGAATTCAAAATGATATAAATGGATGACAATTAATGAATATCTTCTTTCAAAAATGCCATGTGGTAGTGGATGTGTTCCATTTCCACAGGGAGCACTCGTTTATGAAACTCACTATTATGTATTTTAACAACAATTTGGCATACAAATTCTTTTCATTTTAAATAAATAGTTTATTAGGTCAATTACTAAATTAATTGCAAACATTAATACATCACATTATTATACATCTGTCATCGTAACACAAGGAAGTTTGCTGATTCTGTTCTAAACTTTTTGGATTTCGGCATTCCCATGGGTTATCCTTGGAAGGAAGATATATAATAATAAGGTTATTATGAGAATACCTCAAAGTATGCACTCCGACAGTACGCCATGCATCGACGTCGGTCGATACTCCAGCTGTACTCGTGCATACTTTGAGGAATTCTCTTAATAATCTCATATTATGCATTTATTTAGTTTATTTACGCATGTTCCCCTTCCTCCGCTCAGATGATACGGTTCAAACCATTTGTTCAAAGCGTACGTGCCAAAACTTTTGCAAATCAATTAGCTAGTTTGCTAATTAGGTAGTTCCATATGTGCCTGTGCCCCATCAATAAAATTACCCATCTTCCAACTTCAAGCTGTATCCATCAATTTTCTGTTTTCTAATTTCTTTCTTTTCTTTTTTGAGTCACTGAACATATGCTAACAAATTTCCTTTCATTTATTCATACCTTAAGCATTGAACAAGCGTTCCACTAATCTCATATTAGCAAATACAGCAACTGTCTTTCTATTCACAGCAATCATACAATAAGCACTCCACAAACCTTCTGCAAAGAATTTAAAATAAGTGAGCCACAGCACTGAAACATTATGATTGTAGAGAGTTTGAGCATCGTATTAAAATTGATTTTCTTATGTGGTGTACATGTATGTTTCCTTTGTACTGGTAATAGAATATATACTTCTGTTTACAAAACATCATGCATTCCACTTCGCAAGTTTAAAAATAGATTGATTATATTATGATACCCAAATCACCACAAAGTGCAACCAACTGTTGCAGATCTGTTCTTGGTATAATATGCAGGAAACAAATATGCAAATTAGTTAATTAACTATGCAAAACGTTTGCATAAATCCCCATTAGTATTTGACCGACTTCTATTAAATAATTGCTGCAAAAATGAGCTACAGCTTAACCTGTTTTGTAGTTTTGCATTTTATTTGTTTTCTTGTGAACACTTTTTATACAATTTCTGGCTTTTGAAATTTCACTCATCAGAGGATGGGTGAACCAAGTGGAGTTGCAGGGTGGTGATGTCAACATGGGGTGTGTATTCAATCACTTTCTACATTGAGTCAGGAAGACAGACTGATCATTGCACAGAAGAAGTCCAATCTTTCTTCCCTGCAAGTCTAAAACGCCATTTTAAAATGAAGTTAGCAAGGCAGTGAGGCACCCATAAATTTAGCATTAAAGAGAGTAGGGAAATGCAACATTCCAGAATAGGTAGCAATCACAACCCTTGCTATGAAATGGTTGACCCTATGTCTGTATCTGGGTTTCTACCATTCATAAATATGGGTTTGAGTTTCATTATTATCTGAAATATGAAAAAAAAAAAAAAAACAGAAAAAATGTGGGAAAGACAACAAAAGTTACAAACTCGAAAACAAGAACAGATTGCATGTTTGGATTGAGTCTTCTTCAACAAAAAGCCATATGACACTGTTTCCCCATTTTCATCATTTTTCTGGTTTATTTTTATTCATATTTCATTATTGTAACATTTTTTTGTTATACTACTATGATCTCTGTTCTTTATTTTAGTATTCAATGTGTTAGAAACTTTTTTTATTACAATTGCACTTTACAAAATTAAATATTAAATTATATTCTGACTTCTTTTTCACCTATTTGTAATTATACATGTCAGGCAGTCAGGACTGAATAGAATTAAACATGTCTAAACTCTAGATTTAACAATTCCTCTAATAATTAACTAACGCTTGATGTAGTAACAAATAACGGTAGGTAATTTTCAGGAATTATTTTAATCATATATGCATGTGCTTTATCGATTGAATCCTATAACCAGCTGGTGTATTATGTCACATACTTGAATATGTTTTGGTTGTTGTTATGACAACTGCCACTCGTTACTGCATCCTGAGGAGTATCTCAAATGAAATGTTCACCAGGTTTGAATACACCAAAATTCAATGTGAAGATTGTGCTTGATTGGTTAACTACACCTAACCGCGTCAGACCAATCAGAGAGCTTCTTGTTTGTTGACCTTGACCCAACTCCCAAATTGAGTTTTGAGTTGCAATTACGATAATTTTGATCTGTCTGTGGGAGAGGGACAGGGTCAAGTGTCACTGAGATAAATTCCTAGGGAGTCATGGTAATTTAAGCAGTCAAGTGATACTGGAATAATTTCAACCAGTCTAAGTAGTCAAGTGATACTGGGATAAATTCAACCAGTCTAAGCAGTCAAGTCATACTGGAATGATTCTAATCAGACTAGGGAGTCAATTGAAGCTTAATAAACATGTATAAATTGGCTACTTTAAGTCAGGGTGTACCAGTTTCTTTAATTCAGAGGTGCATCATGGTCAACGTCAAATTATCTCTTCCTGGTGGAAATATCAGCATGACATTGTCAAATTGTTGCGCAGTAAACTTGTAGCAATTTGTATTATGGCCTAGTGCTTGTCATATTTTGTTACAATTGAAATGGGCATAATAATGGGCTAATATGGTAGAAAACGCATATATACAATTAGTTAACAATTAGAAGATTCTAATGACTCTGCTAAACATGTAACTATTGCAACATAGGTATTTTCAGGATATTTGGATGTATGAAAAAAAGATGGCACATAGTGTGTGCACTCAATTAAATTATGCATTTAGATACTGAAAGATGATAAAAACACATATCAGAGGCAGTGCCATGTGTTGTCTTACTACAATACTGAAAATGTCACTCTTCTTGCATTTATGAGTTGGCTTCAACCTTAAATACCAGTAATGCTAGTTGCATACATGCATTACAGCTTAATTTGGAGCAACAAAATAATGTCTGAAACAGAAAACTAACAATTCCCCATTCTATATGTAGGGCACTTCACGGGTATGCAGAATTGCAAAAGAAAAAAAGTAGTTTTCCAACTGATGCAAAGTAAAGATGAGCAAAACCTCTTGTTTTGTCAATAACTCAGTGGGAAAAATCATTTTTTATTATTCACATCATCTATAACTTCAGTTCCCAAAACTGTATACATTGCTATGGTTACATGTCCTGTAAATTAAAATTACAAATTAATTATACGCTTGGGCCTTTTCCACTATTGCTAACTAAAATATTGATTCTAGGCACAATATTCACTTATTGATTATGTTTTTAGCCTGGCTGGTACGTTTATGGGAAATCACCTTGCCTACTGGTGTGGTTGCCATAGTTTCCAGTACTGGCTGGAACAAGGACAAAGTGCAGTCTATCATTGGTCACAGGTATGTGGTACTTTTACATCAGAACATGCATAATAATTTCTTTACACTTTTTTTGTATTTTTCTAGAATTTATTTGTTACTTTTGGGTCAAATGGACATTTGATAGTTTCTCATTGGCTACACATCTGGAAAACAATATGTAGGTCTAATTTATGAATGGTAGAGAAGTTTAAGGGAAACCCCATGGACATGAAATTCATTTTCACTGATTTTTGACAAATAAAATTTAGCAAATATACCTTTTTTCCTATATTTTACATTCAACTCATCAAAAATCAGTTCGACCATGATTTTCGTATCGATATTCAGTAAATCTAACCGCCTACTCTATGAGGGATTTGGTTGGGATAGATTTTCAGAGTATAAGTTGTTAATCTCGCCTCGTAGCTATGCTGTTTCTAAATCAAGATGCTGACCATAAGCGTGACTGTTAAACTTGAAACAACTCAGCTACTCATGCGATTAATTATAATCAGCACACTTCTAATTGAACAATTCTTTAGGTGAATGAATGCTGAAATGAACAATAAAATTTTAAAATTTTTCTCAATATTCTTGTAGTAATTTTTTGAACCCTTGACTAGGGTAATAATGTATAGAGCAATCTATGGTAAGCACATGTCGCTATGTGAAATCTGTTGAAATGGTGGGTTGAACGTTGTACCAATGATATTCTTTACTTGGCTACAGACATAGAAAAAGAAATAGACTGAGGGCGCTATACTTAATAATTGTTTGTTGTTTCATTGTAGGCTTGGGTACCTGGAGAGTGTAGATTTTTCCTACACTGCAGCAAACGGCAATAGAAAGGATGCCGTGGTTACCTTGTGGAAGAGAAAATGAACCACTGACAAGCTCATGATTTTGATATAGTTGCTATATATGGAGTACTGCTATGAAATTTTTTATATATTACAGTAGTTGACTCAACTACTAGTTTAGTGTTCATATTATTGTACGCTGTATTTCTTTCATTACTAAAATTCAATATCTTGATTCTGTAAATGTAACCGTTGTTACTTTGTGCAATGTTCCTCATTTTAAAAGTATATTTTGTCAGCTTTGAAGTTGCATGTTGCTGTCTGTCTGTCTGTCTGCCAAATGCAATGTGTACATTGTTTTGTTTTTTGGCATATTAAGAAAAAATACTTAATTCAGGTTTTACTGAATGCTTGTGTAGATGCTTCTTGTTGTAATTGTTTATACTATGCAGTGTTTATACCAAACACCTACATACAATGGTAATATAAATTTCAATATGCTATTACAGCCAAAACAAGGTCAGCTTGGACGTTCAGTTGTGAGACATAACAAAAAAAAAAACGCAGGCAGTGATACATTTCGAAAATAAAAATACAAAATAAACGCAATCAGAGGCGCTGACCGTTGGAAGTAAATAGAACGCGTTGTGACACTGTCTTACCAGCGTCTTTCACTCGCGCAATATAATTATGCTATTTCCCAACGCACTTATATTTAATACATTGACGAAAAACACCACAAGAAAAATGTAAATCAGGCTTGTAATTACTAGTAACTCAACTCGAACGCAATATTCATCACTGTAAAAGTGGATAAATTCGAACCAGCTAGCTCATGACCGGAGACGTCCGGTCGTCTTCGTTGATAACTCGCCAATTCATCACAATCGCGGTGGTAAACTGTTTAGCTGATTTTTCAAAAGATGGATAGTCAATTCATATTCATTCCAACTTATTTGAATATTCTTTCTGAAATTTGAGACATTGTTAAAAAAAATCCTGTACAGGGATATGTCTGATATCAACTAATAATACGCAATTATCCAGACAATACTAGAAATTATTGCTGATACTAATCATGTTTTGTATTGGGAAGTTGGATACTTGAACGTGTAGTTCCAGGGCGTGTAGTAGACGAGCATAATCGTACTGTCACATGTTTTTCGTCTTAGCCTTGTCTTTTCGTCTTAACCGTCGCAGTCTGCTTCATTGAATGTTTAGTTTAATAATTGATAAACATATATTCAGTTGCTTTAAAGTTGTGTTAATACAAAGATGATTTAAACTTGTCCTTCCGTTGCAAACGTATTCAATATACGGGAATAGCATGTGTGTGCGTTTGCGTGAGTGAAAGATGCAGGCGAGATTTATCTCGTCGCAACGCGATCTATTTATTTCCAACGCGCGTAGTCGGCGCCTTTTATTGCGTTTATTTTGTTCTTTCATTCGCGAAATCTATCGATGACACCGTTTATTTTGTCATGTCTCACAACTGAATGTCCAAGCTGACTTTGTTTTGGCTGTAACCATAAATTTGATTGATTCAAAAAGAGTGTCAACCTGACTATCATTAATCACCTGCTGAGTATTTATGTATGAGGAATCTACAACCAGCGTGCAAACTGACAATGAACGAAAAGTATTTTTACTAATTTCAGATTGATCTATACTTTTTGGCTCAAAGTTCAATTCCAATCAATCTCCGTGCTATCATCCCGGCTAATCTGTTAATTCGGTTTCTCACATTACAATTATGTAGATGCTGAACTCATTTCGCTATGTTTCATTGTGAGTTGCAAGTAAGGTTAGAGCACAGTCAGCTGGCGCACACGTGATAATAAAATAAATACGATATTTACTATATGGGTGCCGCCATCTTGAATGACGCATAAACTATAAATAAGAGACAAGTTGTGAAACGCGTTTTTCAGATTCCTACAAATCAGGACAAAAATACCAATCTTTCACAAAAATACGGTCCGTTGGGCTTATATTAAGCCAACCGATAACAAAACTCGGCCTAATTCGTCGTTTTTGTGTGGAAAAATCCTTTGCATACGAACACCTAATTACGCGAAGAACGTAGAACACTAAGCCGGGGTATTTGAAACCGAAATTGTCATCTGAGCGTTAGGCCGTCGCTGATTGGCTGCTGAGCTGGAATGCCAATTTTTAGTTTTTAAGTCAGGGTAGCATTATTGTACCAATACACAAAAGGGATCAAGATCAGACCCAGACAATTTCAGGGAGTGGCTTTGTCAGTTGCTTGGGTAAGCTATTCACTGCCACACTAAATAATGATTAATAAAATATTTAGAGAAAAATAATTTATACTCTCCTTATCAATTCGGTTTCCGTAGAAATAGACGGACGACAGATTGTTTATTTATTCTAAAATCTATTGTAGATGAGTATATTCACTCAGAATATTCAAAAAGTAAAAAATTGTATGCATGCTT